ATTCGTTTAACAACTGCGGCAAGAAAGGTCGTAAAACGGGGGCCAAGCTCTGTGAACAACTGCCTTGCTTTGCAACGGAAAAATTGGTCTCGAAACTAGACATTCACCTGTCCGAGATGGTATAGGTTCTCCTGCTTGAGCAGGGGGCTGGACTAGAAGACCTCCAAGGTCCCTTCCAGTTTCATTCTATTCAAAGGACTACCTGGGCCGTTGAAACGAAGATTCGGATAGGAGGGGCAGCATTTAAATTTGAATTTTTGTGACCGGCTTCGCAAAAATTCACAAGAGGAAATTTAGGGGTGTGAGCGTGAAGTCATCGCCGAGTCAAGCCGGCCGGATTTCCCACGGGGAAGACGGGGTGCGTATGTCAGCCAGAAGGAACGGGGAAAGAATGGAGGCGACGCCTGGATGAGATGGATTTATATTCCTGTGACTGAAAACGCCTGGCAAAGTCCCAGCTGTCTGGGTGCAGGGTGCCGAAAGAGACTTGATATTATAAATTCCCATTTGTGCAGCCATGATTTGTGTGGCTAATTAAGCGGAAGAAGAATGCAACACACCTAGGATTTTTCAGCAAACTTTTTTTTAGCTTGGGAGGGCTAATACAGTATTTAGTTCCGGCACTAATAGAAACGCTCATTTTAGATGGTAGAATAATTTATAATTTACATTATATATAGGTGATCCTTGACTGACGAGTGCAATTCAGCTCAAAATTTCTGTTGCTAATTGTGAAGTGAATTTTGCTCCGTTTTACGACCTTCCTTGACCCAGTGGCTATGTGAATCCCTGCAGTTGTTAAACGAGTAACAAGGTTGTTAAGTGAATCCGGCTTTTCCCAGGGGTCTTCAAACTAGGTCCTTTTATGACGTGGACTTCAACACCCAGAATTCCTCAGTTGGCCATTTTGATGAATCCGCAGGCTTAGATCCAGGCCAGGGATCTTCAAACTTGGCCCTTTTATGACTGGTGGACTTCAACTCCCAGAATTCCTCAGTCGGCCATTTTGATGAAGCTTAGATCCAGACCAATGGTCTTCAAACCTGGCCCTCTTATTGTTCTGTCCCCCGTCCGACCCACACCCCCCAACCAGTCAGCCGAGGCCTGACAAACTACTCGGCACCGACGAAGGCAACGGAATGTCTTGGCAGCCACTTCGTAGCTGCCTGCCAAGTCTTTAATGATAAACCACAGCAAACAAAGATAAGCCACGAGAACTTGCCAGAATGCTTGCAACCGAGTGTTCATCAAANCCAAGTCCAGAAACACCGGGCTCCTGGCCAATCCCAGAAACACCGGGCTCCTGGCCAAACTCCTCGCTGTCGGAAGGCACCGAAGGCTGCACCAGAGGGGAAGGGCCGGGAGAGGGAGACCTAGCCATCTCCTCTCCGTCATGTTCAGAGCCTTCCTCCTCTGATGAGAGGGACCCACTGGACGGAGCCACAACACTTATGACTTGTAGACTTCAACTCCCAGAATTCCTCAGTCGGCCATTTTGATGAAGCTGAGGGCTTAGATCCAGACCAGGGGTCTTCAAACCTGGCCCTTTTATGACTGGTGGACTTCAACTCCCAGTATTCCTCAGTCGGCCATTTTGATGAAACTACAAGCTTGGATCCAGACCAGGGGTCTTCAAACTTGGCCCTTTTATGACTTGTGGACTTCAACTCCCAGAATTCCTCAGTCGGCCATTTTGATGAAGCTGAGGGCTTAGATCCAGACCAGGGGTCTTCAAACTTGGGCCTTTTATGACTTGTGGACTTCAACTCTCTGAGGAATTCTGGGAGTTGAAGTCCACAAGTCATTAAAGGGCCAAGTTTGAAGACCCCTGCAACAGACAATATTTGCAAGGCATTAGTTAGGCAGAGTTAGGTAGCAGCGCCAGGGAGACGGGGAGAGCAAATATGCATGGCATTATTGCATTTTGATTGCCAGGAAACATAGGGGATTTTCTCAGCTGTCAACATAAATTGTCTGGCCCAAGTTAACCTAAGAAGCCAAGTTCACACAGGCCTGCCCAGGCTTCAATTGCTCTTCCTGCAGCTTGCTTGTTCCTCATACCGTATCATGTTTACCTTTAGTTTTATTTATCCAATTTACATGGCACCCTTCTCCCCGTCCAGCGACTTTGGGCGGCTTACCATTTTTTTTATTGAAGATTTTTCCTCCCTCCCAGGGGATAAATGATGTAGAAAGGGGAATTAGGAGAAAGGAAAAATAGTAAGAAACTATAAAAAAGGAAAGAAAAAGAGAATTAAAGAAACAAGTTCCGGTCTTCCTTCTTCACAGCATTTGCAAACCGACTTATATTTCCCTCCTTCTTGAGATTGTATCACATAGTTCTCCTCTATCCTTTGAATCAGCACGTCCAGAAATCCCATTTCATTCCCTTCCCATTTTCAGCCAAGAGATTTCCAGAATGGCTTTGCAGAGTGAGACAGGCGGTGTATAAATTTAATTGAGAAGCAAATAAATAAATGTAATAAATAAAATAAATATAATAAGTAAATGTGGTCAGTGCATTTGATAAATGAATAATTTGATAAATGCAATAAATAAACGAAATAAAGGTAATAACCAAATGTAATAAATAAAATACATTGTGATCAACGCATTTAATAAATGAATAATTTGATAAATGCAATAAATAAACGAAATAAACGTAATAACCAAATGTAATAAATAAAATACATTAAATAAATGTGATCAACACATTTAATGAATGAATAATTTAATAGATAAATGCAATAAATAAAGGTAATAAAGGTAATAACCAAATGTAATAAATAAAATACATTAAGTAAATGTGATCAACGCATTTAATAAATGAATAATTTAATAGATAAATGCAGTAAATGAAGGTAAGAAAGGTAATAACCAAATGTAATAAATAAAATACATTAAATAATCTAGTCCAACCCCCTGCTCAAGCAGGAGACCCTGACAGAATGACAGAATAGCACAGTTGGAAGGGACCTCGGAGGTCATCTAGTCCAACCCCCTGCTCAATGCCCCACGCCCTTCAGCAAATCCCTCTTCTGCTGGTGGCCCTGGCAGCCGGCCCCCCACTTTCTACTTCTTTGATGCTCCCCATCCCACGATTCGCAATGCTCGTAATCTCGAAGAACTTAAAAGAAATGTAAGTTTAAGAAATCTAAATTTACCAACCGCGCAGATAGCACCGTTCGCAGGGAACGAATGAATGAATGAATGCACGCATGAATGAATGAATGAATGAAAGGTGACGTAATGGGCGCAGTGCTTTCTGGGAGGAGCGGCCGCCGCGCTCGCTCGCTCGCTCGCTCGCTCGCGCGGGGCAGGCCGGGATGCAGCGCGGCAAAGCTCCAGACTGGTTCCGGGAGGGGCGTGGCCTGCGAGGGTCTCTCCCGCGCACGCGCGGTGCGGGCTGGACCTCCGCGTGCCGCGCGGATTGCAAAAGGTGGCGGCGTTGCAAGCAGCGGGTGAAAGATGCGCGATCCTGCGATCGCTTTTCCGCGGGATCCTGTGGCGATCCAGTAGGAGCGGCAGCCAAGAGGCAAAACTTTGGGCCGGGTGTTTGCTGTAAGTCTTGCAGTCTTCTGAATTTTTATTGGAGTCCCTTTTGTTTTTTTGTTTTCTTTGCACGGATTCTTTGCAGGCAGAAATGCAACCGGTGAGGCAGCGAGGAGAGGCTGCAGAAGGGCATCTCAACCAGCCCGGCCTTTCCTGGGGTGCCCCCCCCTCTCCTTGGTCGTTGATTTTCACTTTCTCGTGGCTGTTTGTGGATTAAAAATGAGCTCTAGTGGTTTGGATATTTTATGACCTTTGACCCTTTGCAGCCTAAACCAGGGGGTCTTCAAACTTGGCCCTTTGATGACTTGTGGACCTCAACTCCCAGAATTCCTCAGCCAGCGTGCCTGGTTGAGGAATTCTGGGAGTTGAAATCCACAAGCAGTGGTCTTCAAATTTGGCCCTTTTATGACTTCTGGACTTCAACTCCCAGAATTCCTCAGCCAGCATGCCTGGCTGGGGAATTCTGGGAGTTGAAGTCCACAAGCATCGGTCTTCAAACTTGGCCCTTTTATGACTTCTGGACTTCAACTCCCAGAATTCCTCAGCCAGCGTGCCTGGCTGAGGAATTCTGGGAGTTGAAGTCCATAAGTCACAAAGGGGCCAAGTTTGAAGACCCCTGGCCTAAACTGACTTTGAAACTTTGGATGTTGGTTTTGAAGGGAACCCCCTCCCCCCTTAAATTAATTGTATTTCATTATGGTGAAATTATGCATTATAAATTGAATATACACAGAGATGCACACATACACACATACATATACTGTATTTTACTGTGTTATTTAGATGAAATGTGAATATATATATTGTGAGTCCATGTTTGTTATGTCATATGCTAAAAAAGTCCACAAGTCATCAAAGGGCCAAGTTGGAAGAACCCTGCTTGTGGACTTCAACTCCCAGAATTCCTCAGCCAGGCACAATAAAAAAATGTTTCTCACCATTATAATTTTTGCAAATAATTTGAAGCAACAAACAGCCAACGCACAGGAGGGAGAGAGAGAGAGAGAAAATATTATATATTATATAAAGTTATATGTAGCACCCGATGACTTTGATCATGCAATGGTTCCAAAATATTGGATGTTCAAAAAGTTGTTTAAAGTGTAATGTGTTGAGGTGTCCAATGCACACTCAGGGTTTAGTCTGCTCGTTCTTTTGTCCATTTCATCCCCACCACACACCCCTGTGAGGTAGGCTCAACGAGACTGTGTAACTGCCAGAAGATTTTTAACCTGGATTATTTTTTTTTTCCTGGTCTTGTTACAGCAAGCGGACCCCTGGCTGCATGTGTTTTATTTTTATGTATTCAATTTATATGTTTTGTTTTTTATTTATTTATTAAATCTATATGCTGTTGGTCCTGGGGTCCAAAGTGACTCTTTTCCTCATTGCTAATTTGCTAATTTCCTCGATTTCCCTCCGGCAGGCTGGCTGAGCTGTCCAGAAGGATGGCACCCCCTGCCCAGCGCCGTAAAGCAGCGAAAAGCAGCAAAGAGCGGAAGAGACGTGGTCCGCCTGCTGCTAAGAAGGGGAAAGGAGACCCAGAGGAGATCAAAGGAGGAGATGCTCCCAAAATGGAGCCCGCAGTGGCAGATTATTTCCATCAGGCGCACGAAACCTTCAAGTCTGGCTTTGCCTCCGATGAGGAGAAAAGTAAGATTTGTTCACAAAGGGAGACAGAGCACTTTGAAAGCTTGTGGAAATAGTTCTTGAGTTACGACCGTAATGGAGCCTGCCCACCACGGTCGTAACTCGTGATGTTTGGACCATTTTTGGAGCAGTTGTTAAGTGAACCAGTGGTTCGCTATGAGATGGCTTTAGCGTAAGTGGGATGTATACATGCCAGTTTTTGGCAAAATGGCTGTAAAATGTAGTCACGTGACTGTGGGGTGCTGTAAATCGGGGGTCTTCAAACTTGGCCCTTTGATGACTTGTGGACTTCAACTCCCAGAATTCCTCAGCCAGCGTCCCTGGCTGAGGAATTCTGGGAGTTGAAGTCCACAAGTCATCAAAGGGCCAAGTTTGAAGACCCCTGCTTGTGGACTTCAACTCCCAGAATTCCTCAGCCAGGCATGCTGGCTGAGGAATTCTGGGAGTTGAAGTCCACAAGGCATCAAAAGGGCCAAGTTTGAAGACCCCTGTTCTAAATGCCTGTGAGGTCATGTGACTACAAGGGGCAGCTATTGGTATTTCAAATCTGGGTTATAAGTATCCCCATGGAAGTCCGTTGTAAATTCAATCGGTTGGTAAGCGATCGGTTGCAAGTTGAGTACCGGGCCATAGCCGCCTCCATTGGCATTCAGAAATTTGGGAATACGGGAGTTCTTTTTTTGTTGCAAGGAATTCTGGTAGTTGAAGTCCCCACATCTTCAACACGCCAAGGTGGAGAAACACTGTTTAGCGAGCATTGGAAGCACCGAAAAGACAATTTAACAACTGCTCCTCACACTTACGACTGTTGTGGCATTCCGACCATCACGTGATCAAAATTTGGGAGATTGGCATGTACAGGCAGTCCTTGACTTGCGACCACAATTGAGCCCCAAATGTCCGTTGTTAAGTGAGACATTTGTTAAGTGAGTTTCGTCCCGTTTTACGACCTTTCTTGCCATCGTTGTTAAGTGAATCATTACAGTGGATAAGTTAGTAACATGGTTGTTAAATGGATCCAGCTTCTCCCCCATTGACTTTGCTGGTCAGAAGGTCGCAAAAGGGACCACGTGATCCTGGGACGCCGCCACCGTCATAAGTACATGCCAGTTTCCAAGCATCTGAATTTTGATCACGTGACCATGTGGGGATGCTGTAAAGGCCGTAACTGTGAAAAACGGTCCTCGGTCCCTTTTTCAGTGCCGTTGCAACTTTGAGTGGGCACTAAACGAACTGTCGTAAGTCGAGGACTGCCTGTATTGACAACGGCTGCAGCATCCCCGGGAACGTGATCGCCATTTGCGACCTTCCCAGCCGGCTTCCGATAAGTAAAAGCAATGGGGGGGGGAATGCCGGATTTGCTTAACGACCGTGCGATTCCCTTAACGACTGAAGGGATTCGCTTAATGACCGTGGGCCGAAAAGCTTGCAAAAACTGGGCCCGGCTCCATTTAATAACCGCCTCGCTTAGTGAGGGAAGTTCTGCTCCCAATTTTGGTTGTAACTCGAGGACTCCCTATAACGTGCCTTATTTTTGCCTTATTTTATTTTAGATTATATTTTATGTATTGTTTTATTGTATTGTTTTCTATTATGTTTTATGTACTTTATATATTTTATTTTATTATTTTATTTTAGATTCTATTTTATGCATTTTATTTTATTTTATTATATATTATTTATTTTATTGTATTTTATTTTATTATATATTATTATTTATTTATTTTATTATTGTATTTTAGATTGTATTTTAGATTATATTTTATTATATATTACTTTATTTTAGATTATATTTTAAGTATTTTATTTTAGGTATTGTTTTATTTTATTATTTTGCTTTATATCATTTTATGTATTTGATATATTTTATTTCTTTTGTTTTATTATTTTATTATGTATTTTATTTTAGATTATGTTGTATGTATTATTTTATTATTTTGCTTTGTTTTGTTTATTATTATTTTATTTTTATTTACAGGCCTGTTTGTGAGCAACGTCCTGACGGAAGCCGTAGCTGTGGCGTTGCCGCTGGCCCTGGATCCGTCGGGGTCGCTGCTCCTCCAGGCGCTGCTGCCTTCGGCCTCGGGGGCCAGCTTGGACCCCCTGCTCCGGGCCCTGCTCCCCTCCCTGCGCCTGGTGGCCTGCCACCCCTGCGGAGCCCACATCTTGGAGGGGGCCCTGTGGAGAGCCCCAGCGCTGATCTCGGACGGAGGAGAGGAGTCCCAGGCACTGGAAGAACTCATCCTGAGTTTGGGGAAGGGTCTTCAGGAGGAGCTGTCGACTTTCGCCTTGGATGCCCACGCCAGCTTTGTGGTGCGGACCCTGTTGCAGGTCCTGGGAGGGGCCCGAGTCGGGTCGGACGGCGGACGGGGGCTCCCGGGCTCAGGTGAGTGGTGGCTGTTGAATGCGTTCCCCCATCATGTGATGGGTGTGTGTGTGTGTGGAGGGGATGAAAGCCGTCCCCTGCTTTCGGGCATCTCAAGAGTTTCCTGCGTGTTGAGATCCAGGGTGGGAAGGATGTGGGAATGATGAGACCTGGGTTAATGACTCCCCTCAGTTCTAGGAGGTTTCTGGGTGACTCCGGGTCCGCTGTTTCTGCTCAGCTCACTGTAGCTGACCTGTTTTTGTTTTTATTTTATTTTATTTTAATTTTATATTTTATTTTATTATTTTTTATGTATTTTATATTATTTATTTTATTTTATTTTTTATGTGTTATATTTTATGTATTATTTTATTATATTATTTTATTATATATTATTTCTTATTTTATTATTTTAGTTTAGATTATATTTTACATATTTTATTTTATTGTTTTATATTATGTTTTATGTATTTTATACATTTTATTTTATTACTTTTTATTTTTTGTTTTTTATGTTTTTTATTTTTATTTTATTATTTTATTTTATTAATTTTTTATGTATTTTATATTTTATGTATTTATTTTTATTTTGTTTTATTTGATTTGATTTTATATTTTATGTATTATATTTTATGTATTTTATTTTATTATATATTATTCTTATTTTAGTTTAGATTATATTTTATGTATTGTTTTACTTTATTGTTTTATATTAGGTTTTATGTATTTTATATATTTTATTTTATTATTTTATTTTAGATTATATTTTATTATATATTATTTTAGATTATATTTTAAGGGTTATTTTATTTTATGTATTGTTTCATTTTATTGTTTTGCTTGATATTATTTTATGTATTTTATATATTTTATTTTATTTCTTTTGTTTTATTATTTTATTATATATTTTATTTTATATTAATTTTATGTATTTTATTATTTTGTTTTGTTTTGTTTATTATTTTATTTTTATTTACAAATAACAGATGAAGTCCTAAACTCAACATATGCTGTCTTCAACCTATGGACTTCAAGTCCCAGAATTCTGGCTGGGGAATTCTGGGAGTTGAAGTCCACAAGTCTTAAAGTGGCCGTTGTTGGACACCCTTGATTAATGCCCTATTTTGCCAGATGTTTGCAGCATGCAGAAGTGTATGAATCGTTTCCATGTGGGAAAATCAGGGCCTCTGATTCACACCTTCCCCTTTTTTGCCCACTTCCGCCATCTTAGGGCTTCTTCGTCCCCGGGCCAAGGGTTCAAAGGTCGGGAGCGAAGGACCAGCGGTTTTCGAGGTTCCCGCCAGCTTCCTCTCCCTCCTGCAGGAATTCAAAGGCTGCTTCCAGGAACAGATTGCAGGTGAGATGCTGCCATCTGCTGGGCAGGTGGAGAAACAGCAGTCTTGCACAGCTCTTGAGGGAGTCCTCGCTTAATGGCAACAAGGGAGCGTGGGATTTTTTGTGATAAGTAGTTGTAGTGGTTAAGCGGGTCTCCATGAGTGCTGACTCGCTCTTACAACCATTTTGATGCGGTCGCTAAGCCAATCCTTTCTACCGGTATGAATGGGTGTTCTTTGCTGCACACTGGGAAAATACGTTGCAAATTGTCACGTGCAAACCGGTCGTCAATGTGAGCCAGTTGCGCCCCTTGAAATGCGATCACGTGACCGTGGGGGGGGGGGAAATCGTAATTTTGAGGATGGATTGCAAGTACCTTTTATGGCATCGGTTATTGTCATCATGTGACCACAGGGGGTTAAGTCATAAATCTGAGGTCCTTTTATGGGCAGGGGTCTTCCAACTTGGCCCTTTGATGACTTGTGGACTTCAACTCCCAGAATTCCTCAGCCAGCGTGCCTGGCTGAGGAATTCTGGGAGTTGAAGTCCACAAGCAAGGGTCTTCCAACTTGGCCCTTTGATGACTTGTGGACTTCAACTCCCAGAATTCCTCAGCCAGCGTGCCTGGCTGAGGAATTCTGGGAGTTGAAGTCCACAAGCAGGGGGTTTTCAGACTTGGCCCTTTAATGACTTGTGGACTTCAACTCCCAGAATTCCTCAGTCGGCCATTTTGATGAAGCCGCGAGCTTGGATCCAGACCAGGGGTCTTCAAACTTGGCCCTTTGATGACTTGTGGATTTCAACTCCCAGAAATTTCTCAGCCAGCGTGCTTTCCAGACAGTAATAATAATAATAATAATTGGAAGGGACCTTGGAGGTCATCTAGTCCAACTCCCTATACCATTTCAGACAAATTTCAGACGTCTCCCTTAACAACAGACATTTTGGGGTCGTAAGTCGAGGACAACTGAATGTGTCTTGTGAGACATATATAAGCTAAAGAGGAACAGGACAAAAAAAATTCTGATGATGTTTCCTAGTATGGTAACGAAACGTTCAGAAACTAAATTGAAACAGGCTTGGAGAGCAAACCGCTGTCAAAATCTAAAACCCGAGCTACAAGTATTTCCTGTTATTTCAAAGGTATAAAGGTATATAAATAACATTTATATATCTTCCCTTTATCTGTCTTTCCTGGCCGGACCTTAACTAAGATTCCCTGCTATTAAACTAACCCTGTTTTCCCTCTAGATTTCATCACCAATAGATGTTTCAGCCTCTGCCTGCAGGTGGCGCTGGAGATCCTCCATAGAAAGCTGCCTGAAACCAGTGCTCAGCTCTGCCGGTCTGTGATTGGCTACTTGAGCAGCTGCAACCCAGCTGCAGCTGGGCAGAGGTGAGCATTGGGATTGGCTGGATGGTTTGGGGGTGGGGATTGGGGGGAGGAGTTTCCACCGGTTGTGCTGTTGGCTGTGTTAATCTTCCCAGGTTAAAGGCAGTGTGGTGCAATAGTTACACTAGTGTGGTGTAATGGTTACGCTCGCAATGTTGTGTAATGGTTAAAATGTGGAGTTAGAGCAGTGTTTCTCAAACTTGGCCACTTTAAGATAGGTGGGAGTTCTGGGAGTTGAAGTCCACCTGTCTTAAAGTGGCCAGGTTTAAGAAATATTGTATTAAATAGACCCACATTCTAGACCAGAGGTCTTCCAACTTGGCCTTTTCATGACTTGTGGACTTCAACTCCCAGAATTCCACAGCCAGCGTGCCTGGCTGAGGAATTCTGGGAGTTGAAGTCCATAAGTCATCAAAGGTCCAAGTTTGAAGACCCCTGCTTGTGGACTTCAACTCCCAGAATTCCTCAGCCAGGCATGCTGGCTGAGGAATTCTGGGAGTTGAAGTCCACAAGTCATCAAAGGGCCAAGTTGGAAGAGCCCTGGTCTAGACACACCTTACCATTAAAACCTTCGACTTACCACCATTCATTTAGCCATCATTCAAAGCTACAACGGCCCCGAACAAAGTGACTTAGAACCAGTCCTCGCACTTGTGACCATTGCAGCCTCATGGGATCAAAATTTGGGTGCTTGGCTACCAGCACCACCTTTACGACGAGGGCAGGTGATCCACCATTTGAAACCTTCCCAGCCGGCTTCTGACCAGCAAAGTCCAGGGGGAAAGCTGGATTCGTCTTAACGGCCACACGATTCACTTAACGACTGCATGTGTGGATGTGCGCGACAAGGCAGAGGTGCATTGATGTGCCTGTCTTGTTTATTCCTCCCTCTTCAGCAGTCTCCTGGTGTTTCTGAAGGACGCGACCTGCAGCCGGGTTCTGGACAAAGTCCTGGAGGTATCGGATGCGAAGGCGTTGCGCTCGTTCTACAAGGTCCACGTGAAGGGGCAGCTCCGCGTGTTGTCAGCTCACAAGGTGGCCAACTTCACCTTGCAGCGGCTGATCCAGGCCGCCTCGCGCAAACTGGTGAGAGAGGATTTGGGTGGCGGCCTCTCCGTTGGCGTCAATCGGGGTGTTGCCGTTGATTTTCGATTGATCTCGAAAAGCTAAGCAGGGACAGAGCGGGTTAAGACTTTGAAAGGGCAGGAGCAGATTTTGGGTCCACCAATGGCACGAGGGGCTGTTAAGGCACCAGGATAGAAACCAGGAGATGGTGAGTTCTAGTTTGCTTTAGGCATGAAAGCTGGCTGGGTATCTGGGCCCGTCGCTGAGTTCTAGTCCCACGCCCATCACTAGGAGAAAGTTCTAGTCCCGCCGTAGGCATGCAAGCCACTGGTTGACTGGTTCAATGACCAGGAGTGGTGAGTTCTAGTCCCACCCACCCTAGTCATGAAAGCCAGTTAGGTGACTGTGGGCCAATCACTGGGAGACGGTTCTAGTCCCGCCTTAGGCATTAAACCGACTGGTTGATTGTGGGCCAATCACCAGGAGACAGTGAGTTCTAGTCTCACCCTAGTCACGAAAGCCAGCTGGGTGACTATAGGCCATTCACTAGGAGATTGTGAATTCTAGTCTCATCCTAATCATGAAAGACAGCTAGGTGACTGGGCCAATCACCAGGAGACTGAGTTCTAGTTTCACTCTAGTCACGAAAACTAGCTAGGTGACTGGGCCAATCACCAGGAGTGGTGAGTTCTAGTCCCACCCTAGTCACGAAAGCTAGCTAGGTGACTGGGCCAATCACCAGGAGACAGTGAGTTCTAGTCCCATCTTAGTCACGAAAGCTAGCTAGGTGACTGTGGGCTAATCACCAGGAGACAGTGAGTTCTAGTCCCACCCTAGTCACGAAAGCTAGCTAGGTGACTGGGCTAATCACCAGGAGAAAGTGAGTTCTAGTTCTACCCGAGTCATGAAAGCCAGCTGGGTGACTGGGCCAGTCACTAGAAGACAGTGAGTTCTAGTCTCACCTTGGTATGAAAGCTGGTTAGGAGCCTTTGGGCCAATCACCAGCAGAGTGGGAATTCTAGTTCACCTTAAGCAGGAAAGCCAGCTGAGTGATTTTGGACCAGTTACCAGGAGACGGTGAATTCTAGTCCCACCTTAGGCCTGAAAGCCGGCTGGGTGACTTTGGGCCCAACCCACCAACCCACCTCAAAGGGTTGTCGTTATTGTGGGGGAAATAGAAGGAGGGAGGAATACGAGACACGTTCGCCACTTTGAGTTGCGTGTAAAAATAAATCGGCATAAAAATACCTGAGTCACACCGTAAGGGTCCCCCAGCTGCTCGTGATCCATTGCAGAGAGATCCATCAGATCCCTGCCGGCCTAGAAGAGGGGAAGGGGCTCCTGAAGACCTCTTGGTCTAGAAGGGTCTTCTCACTCACACCCCATCCCCAGCTGGGGAAGCTTTTTCAGGAGCTGAGCCCCGGCTTGGAACAAATCCTGGCCCTGGAACATCTCGGCATCGTCACGGCGCTCCTGGGCGCCTGCCGGAAACACGGCGCCCACCAGCCAGAAGTGCTGCAGGTCCTTTTGGAGGTGAGCAAATCCTGCTTGGTTTCCTGGTTGTTCCTTTGCTCTGTTCTTCTCCACCAAGTAGTAGTAGTAGTAGCAGTAGCAGTAGCAGTAGCAGTAGCAGTAGCAGCAGCAGCAGTAGTAGTAGTAGTAGTAGTAGTAGTAGTAGTAGTAGTAGTAGTAGTAGTAGTAGTAAAACTGCTGTGGGACTTCAGAATTCAAACAGACAAGCACCTGCAGCATAACACCCCGGACTTAACAATTGTCGATAAGAAAGACAAAAAAAGTCTGGATAGTGGACGTGGCAGTGCCTGGAGACAGCAGAATAGACGAGAAAGAACTGGAGAAGATCACAAAATACAAAGACCTACAAATAGAAATAGAAAGACTGTGGCAAAGGCAAGCAAGGGTAGTACCAATAGTTAATAGGCGCCTTGGGTGCAATCCCAAAACAACTGGAGCACCACTTGAACACCATTGGCATTGACAAATTCGCTATTAGTCAATTGCAAAAGGCAGCCTTGCTAGGAACTGCTTCCATCCTGCGACGAGATCTGTAATACCATCAAACATCCACATCTGCCTATCCCAGGTCCTTGGTAAGGACTCGATAGGCAGGCAAAAATGCCAAATCCAGTCTGAACATCTGGCTGACTGTGCGATGATCAACAACAACAGCAACAATAATAATAATAATAATAATAACAACAACAACCTTGGAGGTCATCTAGTCCAACCCCCTGCTCAGGCAGGAGACCCTAAACCATTTCAGACAAATGGCTGTCCAGTCTCTTCTTAAAAACTTTTTTAAAAATTGTTGAGCTGTTGTTGTTTTTTTTCCTTCCAGGCCTTCCACTGTTGGAAGCCCCGCACCCGCCAGCGGGCCTGCGCCCCCCTCCTCGCCTCCGTGCTGGCTTACGAGGTCTACTTTGGGGAGGGGAAGGAGAAGGTAGGTGTGAGCTACAGGTAGTTCTCGGCTTACAACCAGAACAGGGCCCCGAATTCCTCTTGCTAAGCCAGATGTGTGTTAAGTTTGAGTTTTGCCCCGTTTTACGACTTTTCTTTCCGGGGTGGTTAAGCGTATCGCTGCCGTTGTGAAATTAGGGACAGCGTTGCGAAGTGAATCGGGCTCCCCCAATTGACTGGGCTTGTCAGAAGGTCGCAAATGGGGATCACCTCTCTCTCTCTCTCTCTCTCTCTCTCACACACACACACACACACACACACACACACACACAATATCAATCCCAGGACGCTGCGACCATCATAAATGTGAGTCAGTTGCCAAGCGTCTGAATTTCAATCACGTGAGGCTGCCAAGGTCGTAAGTGTGAAAAACAGTCGTAAGTCACGTTCTGAGTGCCGTTGTAACTTCGAACAGTCACTAAACGAACTGTCGTAAGTTGAGGATTGCCTGTATTGACAACGGCCGCAGCGTCCCACCACTGTCATAAATGGGAGCGTCTGAATTTTGATCACGTGACCATAGGGATGCTGCAAGGGTCGTAAGGTGAAACACGGGCACAAGTTCCTTTTTTTCAGTGTCGTCGCAACTTCGGACGGTCGCTAAACAAACGGTTGAAAGTCGAGGACTCTCTGCGCCTGTGTTTGCATCATTTAAAGACCGGCTCTGTGAAATTGCTAAGGGGGAGCCGTCGTAACTCTCTTCCTCCCAACCAAACGATTTAAACCTGGCTGCCTCTTGGTCCTCTGGCATGGAGCCCCTCCCTTCTGGGAATCCAGACGTCATTCCACCACACCATTGGATTCTCTTTTATTAATAATATTAATAATAATAAAGTTGGAAGGGACCTTGGAGGTCATCTAGTCCAACCCCCTGCTCAGGCAGGAAACCCTATACAATTTCAGACAAATGGCCGTCCAGTCTCTTCTTAAAAACTTCCAGTGTTGGAGCATTCACCGCTTCTGGAGGTAGGTGGTTCCACTGGTTAATTGTTCTCACTGTCAGGAAGTTTCTCCTTAGTTCCAGGTTGCTTCTCTCCTTGATTAGTTTCCATCCGTTGCTTCTCGTCCTGCCTTCAGGCGCCTTGGAGAATAGCTTGACTCCCTCTTTTTTGGGGCAGCCCCTGAGATATTGGAACACTGCTATCCTGTCCCCCCTCGTCCTTCTCTTCATTAAACTAGACATACCCAATTCCAGCAGCCGTTCCTTATATGCTTTAGCCTCCAGTCCCCTAGTCATCTTTGTTGCTCTTCTCTGCACTCTTTCTAGAGTCTGAACATCTGTTGTACATCGTGGTGACCAAAACTGGACGCCGTATTCCAAGTGTGGCCTTACCAAGGCCTTGTAAAGTGGTATTAACACTTCACCTGATCTTGATTCTATTCCTCTGTTAATGCAGCCCAGCACTGTGTTGGCTTTTTTGGCAGCTGCAGCACACTGCTGGCTCATATTTAAGGGATTGTCCACTAGGACTCCGAGGCCCCTCTCACAGTTGCTACTATTGAGCAAAGTACCACCTATCCCATCCCTGTGCATTTGGGTTTTTCTTGCCTAAATAGAGAACCTTACTTTTTTTTCCTCCAGGCAGACGCACCGCCGGCCCTGAGCACCGTCTCCTATCACGGCTCCCTGATGTTGCAGCACCTCCTCCACTTTGCCGACCCTTCCCTCGTGCTGCGCAGCATGGGCGCCACGCCGCCCGCGGACCTGGTCACCTTGGCGTGTGATCCCAGCGGGAGCCACGTCTTCGATGCCCTCTTGGCCAGTCCCTCCGTCCCCAAGAAGACGAGGCGGAAAGTCTTGCTCCGGCTCAAAGTAAGTCTCGGGGACCCCTGGTGGGATTCCGCTCCGGGTGTGATAATGCTGTGATAACGCAAAGTCAAAGCTCTGCCTGTTTAGGTTCACCCTAAACATTGTACCCTGTAGACCCACGTTTCTCGACCTTGTCAACTTGTAAGACATTCCCAGAATTCCCCAGCCAGCAAGGGAATTCTGGGAGTTGAATTCTACCTGCCTTGAAATTATCAAGGTTGAAAAACACAGAAATAGATTATTGGTCACTGTCATACCATGGTCATTCAGGTGCCAGATTCAAGTTCTGGAGGGATTCATTTCACAGGGTTTCTAGTCCTCAAGGCAAGCAGGAATTCTGGGAGTCGAACTCTAGCTGCCTTGAAATCCCCAAGGTTGAAAAACACAGAAATAGGTTTTTGGCCACTGTCATACCATGGTCATTCAGGTACCAGATTCAACTTCTGGAGGGATTCATTTCACAGGGTTTCTAGTCCTCAAAGCAAGCAGGAATTCTGGGAGTCGAATTCTACCTGTCTTGAAATCACCAAGTTTGAAAAACACAGATATAGGTTTTTGGCCACTGTCATACCATGGTCATTCAGGTGCCAGATTCAGCTTCTAGAGGGATTCATTTTACAGGGTTTCTAGTCCTCAAAGCAAGCATGATCCCGCACTGTTAGCAGTGACGTTTATGATGATTGGTAGTAATCCATAAATTCTGTTTCTGCTTTTTGGTTCCAGAGAGAGTAGTAACTCCATTCTGTCTTCTACCTATCATCAAATATTTGATTGCTTATCGTGCTTTCCTGTTAATCACACACAGAATGAGATTAGATTGTTATTAATTGCAATTCAGGGTCCTTTTATATCAGTTACTTCTGCATCCAGCCCACATTCATTCAGAACCCATTCCTTCAAGGCATCTTAAGATGTTTCTGTTTTTCCATCTTTAATTTAGATCAGGGGTCTTCCAACTCGGCCCTTTGATAACTTGTGGACTTCAACTCCCAGAATTCCTCAGTCAATACACCTGGTTGCATCGCACACTCCTCCTAACCTCTGCAAGGTGTTTGGGTTCTTGGCCAATAACACGTCAACATCTGTATGCAAAAAGTACACATTTCCTTTCCGCAGTTGGCACGATTCTGGGCCTGGTTGCAGCCGTTATTGGCGTGTAGTTCTTGACTTATAACCATTCCACCTCTCCCCCCCCCCCTTTTTTTTTTCTTTTTTGCTTTGGATCATCAGGGCCACTTCCTGTCTCTCGCCTGCTCCAAGTATGGGAGCCGAGTTCTGGATGCCATCTGGAGCAGAGCCTCCCTGCCAGCCAAGCGGGAGCTGGCTCAGGAGCTGGGTAAGGCCTCTGTGTCCTCTGTTTCCTTCCTTTCCTTTCCTTCCTTCCTCCCTCCTTCCTTTCCTTCCTCCCTTTCCTTCCTTCCCCCTTCTTTCCTTTCCTTCCTCCCTCCCTCCTTCCCTTCCTTTCCTTCCTCCCTTTCCTTCCTTCCCCCTTCTTTCCTTTCCTTCCTTCCTCCCTCCTTCCTTTCCTTCCTCCCTTTCCTTCCTTCCCCCTTCTTTCCTTTCCTTCCTCCCTCCCTCCTTCCCTTCCTTTCCTTCCTCCCTTTCCTTCCTTCCCCCTTCTTTCCTTTCCTTCCTTCCTCCCTCCCTCCTTCCTTTCCTTCCTCCCTCCTTTCCTTCCTTCCTCCTCCTTCCCTTCCTTTCCTTCCTTCCCCCCTTCTTTCCTTTCCTTCCTTCCTCCTCCTTCCCTTCCTTCCTCCCTCCTTCCCTTCCTTTCCTTCCTTCCCCCTTCTTTCCTTTCCTTCCTTCCTCCCTTCTTTCCTTCCTCCTTTCCTTCCTTCCTTCCTCCCTTTCCTTCCTTTCCTTCCTTCCCCCTTCTTTCCTTCCTTCCTTCCTTCCTCCTTTCCTTCCTTCCCCCCTTCTTTCCTTTCCTTCCTTCCCTTCCTTCCTTCCTTCCTTCCTCCCTCCTTTCCTTCCTTTCCTTCCTTCTTTCCTTCCTTCCTTTCCTTCCTTTCTCCTTTCCTTCCTTCCCCCTTCTTTCCTTCCTTCCTCCCTCCTTCCCTTCCTTCCTTCCTTCCTCCCTTTCCTTCCTTCCCCCTTCTTTCCTTTCCTTCCTTCCTTCCTCCCTTCCTCCCTTCTTTCCTTCCTCCTTCCCTCCCTCCTTTCCTTCCTTCGTTGCCTTCCTCCCTTCTTTCCTTCCTCCCTCGCTCCCTCTCTTTCCTCCCTCCTTTCCTTTGTTCCTTCCTTCCTCCTTCCTCCCTCTCTCCCTCCCTCCCTCCCTCCCTCGCTTCTTCCTCCTTCCTTTTACCTTTCCTTTCCTTTCCTTCTTTCCTTTCCCCTTCCATACTGGAAAGGGTTCATTCAATTAACACAGTGTCTCTCAACCTTGGGCACTGTAGGATGTTTGGACTTCAACTCCCAGAATTCCCCAGCCAGCATAGCTTCAGCTGCCCCAGCCCCCACTTCTTAAAGGGGCCGAGGCTGAGAAACACTTGAGTTAAAGAAAACGTGTAAAGCCACCCAACTCTTTACACGGCAGGCCATATTTCAGAGTCACCCCCTTCCAGCGACTGCGTTCACACCGCCTCCTAAGGTGGAGCCTGGAACAAAGGACACGTGTGAACGCAGCCCCTCCGTTCCACAGAGGCTTTATTGTCATTCCTCCAAACTTAGCCCCCCCTCTCTTCTCCTTCTCCTCGCAGCGGAGCACGAGGCCCGGCTGCGACACGACCCCTTCGGCCACCACCTCGTCCGCAACTTCGCCTTGACCCACTTCCTCAAACGCCGCCGCGACTGGGACGGCCATCAGCAGGCGGAGAAAAAGCGGAGGCAGCTTTTCGCCGAGATCCTGGACTGAACTGGGGATCAAGAGGACTAGCTCCTTAAGCGGGCTTTGTGTTCCCACGCCCCGCCCACATCTGCCCAGAAGAGCCTTTTTAGAGCCTCTCCCTTCGCCCTCGCGAATGTGAGCGGAATCGTTCCTATCGCTCTCGGCCAGTTCGTGATGGGGACTGTAGTCCAAAAGAAAGGCGAGAGAGAAAGAGAGAAGGGTGAGATTTGAGCAATTTGAGATTGCTCCGGACGTGCCTTACTTGACCCTCTTCTCAAACGGATATTTATTTATATTTTTGCAGATATTAAAGGCAGTGAGTTCTTTGCAGGTGCTGTTCGTGTCTTGGTTTTAGGGCAAACAGATTGGCTGGACAGTCTGCGGTTTGTCCAGAAGGCTAGTCAGCTTCCTGTAATCGTGAAATGATGGTTTATAATAATAATAATAATAAAGTTGGAAGGGACCTTGGAGGTCATCTGGTCCAACCCCCTGCTCAGGCAGGAAACCCTATACCATTTCAGACAAATGGCCGTCCAGTCTCCTCTTAAAAACTTCCAGTGTTGGAGCATTCACCGCTTCTGGAGGCAGGTTGTTCCACTGGTTAATTCTTCTAACTGTCAAGGAGTTTAGATCCGGCGGCGTCTCCAAACGCGGCCACGTTGAAGACTGGTGGACTTCAACTCCCAGAATTCCCCAGCCAGCATGAAGGAGAGGAGAACAAATGTGGCTAGATTGCTTTATTGCATTTGTTTTATAGCAGGGGGTCTTCAAACTCGGCCCTTTGATGACTTGTGGACTTCAACTCCCAGAATTCCTCAGACAGCGTGAGGGAACTAGGACCCTTTTATGACTTGTGGACTTCAATTCCCAGAATTCCTCAGCCAGCGTGCCTGGCTGAGGAATTCTGGGAGTTGAAGTCCACAAGAAGGGGTCTTCAAACTCGGCCCTTTTATGACTTGGACTTCAACTCCCAGAATTCCCTAGCCAGCATGGCTGCCACGACTGAGGGATTCTGGGAGTTGAAGTCCACAAGTCTTCAAACTCAAGCAGGAAGCTGGACTGGAAGCCATTATCGGCTGACCAAAGATTGACCAGCAGGAATAAGCGGCACAGTCTTGGGGCTTGCGATATAGGGAGTCCTCGACTTAAGGATCATAATTGTGACCGCAATTTCTGTCGCTAAAGAAGGCCGTTGTGAAATCGAGTCACGCCTGGTTAAGGGAATCACTTCAGTTAAACGAAGTACGCGGTTGTTAAACGAATCCAGCTCCCCCCCCCATTGTCCGAAGCCAGCTGGGAAGGTCACAGAGGGTGATCCTGTCATCCCGGGTTACGCGACCGTCGTAAGATCAGGCCAAGCGCCCGGATTTTGATTTTCGTCAACGTGGGGATGCTGCGACGCTCATAAATGTGAGACCCGGTCATAAATCAGGGTTTTTTTTTCCAGTGCCGGACACGAAATGAACAGTCGCCAGTTGAGAACTATCTGTAGAGGTGTTAATCGGTAAGTGAGGGGTTATAAGTGGAGGAATGTAGGTAGAGTGGTCGCTGAGCTGGAGGCTCTACTGCCCCATCTTTGCAAACCAAGATGATGACTTCAGCCTGCTCCTTATAGAGGCCCACGCTGCTGGATAGGGGTCAGCAGGCCGGTGTTTCCTCAAACCTGGCAAAGGTGGTTTGTAGCGATTGTACAGCCAGGGACGATGGGCTTTGCAGTCCTACCGAAAGCATCCTTTCCGAAGAGATCCCGAAGCACTCGTATGCTGCATCCGTGGTCTGTTCAGCTGGCTGAACGGCTCTGTATATGCCAGCCTGGATCAACCCCCCTTAACCCCTCTGGAAAGGGGACAGAAAGCTGCAGGTAAAGAAGTTCCTTATTTTATTTTTTTTTGTTTCAATACCGGAAAAACCAAAGAGATCGTTGTCAATTTCAGAAAAGGCAGGCACAGCCACACTTCTCTGTGCATTAATGATTCCCCTGTGGAGATGGTTACCGGCACCGAATTCCTGGGTGTGCAGTCGACGAGTAGGCTGGCTTGGTTGCTCAACAGCGAGACACGGGTGAAGCGGGCACAGCAGGCGCCTCCATTTCCTGCGTCGCATGAGAAAAGCACATCTTCCTTCCCCTGTCCTCACCACTCTCTACAGGGGGACGATCGAGCGCATCCTGTCATACGGCATCACAGTCTGGTTTGGAAGCATCCCTGCTTCGGACAGGAAGCCGGTGCCGAGAGTGGTGAGGACGGCAGAAAAGATTATTGGCAGTTCCTCCCTTCCACCCAGGACGTGGCCCATAAGCGTTGCTTGAGCAGGGTCCGCAAGATTGTCTGGGACACTACACATCCTCTTCACAATCTGTTTTCCTTGTTCCCTTCTGGGAGGGGGGCTCCGTGGTACCCGGAGCAGAACATCCAGATTCAGCCATAGTTTCATTCCGTACAGCATTAACCTTGTGAACGCTCCAGCTTCCTCCTTCCGTTATATATTCAAGATGGACAGTGTTTAATATTTATTTGTTACATATATGTAGGGATGTGGGTCTATACATGCGTTGTTCATAGTATGTTTAGGTGTGTGTCGTGTATGTGTTTCACTTTGAGAGCGGGCAACTAAATTTCATTTTCGATGTGTGCCATTGTGCCCACCGTAAAAAAAATGACAATAAAGGTTATCTAAATCTGAGTCCCGAATCAAGTGGGTTCCCTTCAATCCAGTCCGAAGCCGGAAGGTTTTTTCCGGCGTTTGCAGGGACGAAGGCCTCAGTATTGGTAGTTGGTTATCTTGACTTGGGGGTGCCAGCTGTCCCCCACCTCCAGGAGCCGGCGGATGTAATGGGAAGCCCCCAAAAGAAGGTGCCCGACGCCTTGCATGACGGCGGAAGCCACACGCAGGACCTCCCTGGAGGAAGGCAAAAGAGGATTTCCGTCAAAATAATTCACAGACGGAGGCGGTAGGGATAGTCCTCGAGTTTAACGGCCACAAGGGAGCCCAAGGTTTCTGTTGCTAAGTGAGATAGCCTTAGGCATGAAAGCTGGTACAGAGAATTTGGGCCAGGAGGCAGTGAGTTCTAGCCCCGCCTTAGACATGAAAGCCGGCTGGGTGACTTTGGGCCAATCACCAGGAGACGGTGAGTTCTAGTCCCGCCTTAGACATGAAAGCTGGCTGGGTGATTTTGGGCCAATCACCAGGAGACGGTGAGTTCTAGTTGTGCCTTAGACATGAAAGCTGGCTGGGTGACTTGGGGCCAATCACCAGGAGACCAGTGAGTTCTAGTCCCGCCTTAGCATCAAAGGGGGCTGAGGGACTTAGGGCCGGTCCCTGTCTCTCAGCTCAACCCACTTCAGAGGATTGTTGTGGGGAAAATAGGAGGAAAGAGTATCAAGAATGTTTACCGCTTTGAGAATTGTTCATAAACAATTGTAAGGCGGGATAAAAATCAAATAAATAATCCAATGAGTGGAAGCATTGACAGGGCCAACTTGGAGTTGGGTTTATCAGTGTAAAAGCTAGAACGGGAGGTTTTCAAACTTGGCCCTTTGATGACTTGTGGACTTCAACTCCCAGAATTCCTCAGCCAGCGTGACTGGCTGAGGAATTCTGGGAGTTGGTCCACAAGTCATCAAAGGGTCAAGCTTGAAGACCCCCTGAGCTAGAGTGTCTCTTGCAGCAGTTTTTGTATTTCATACAAAGCCTCCTGCGTTCTTTTCCAACCTTTTATGGGAATTGGCGGACACTGTTCCTTGGAAAAGCACTTGGGCCCTCCCTCTGCACCTTTCCCCGGGGAGGGCAAGGGACCAGGCTCACCGCAGAACTTTCTTCGGTCCCAGGCATTTAAAGTCGCAGCTCATCGAGTAGAGCCCGTAGAAAGTGGCCGAGATGTTGAGGCTGCCGAAAAGGTCCCGAGGGTTGAGCTTGTAGATGTCGAACGTGATGCGGGCGATATCCTGGCTGTTTCGAGGCTTGTCTCCGCTCAGGGCAAACGTCCGACTGGTGCTCTGGGGAACAATAGCAGTAGCACTTAAGACTTATGTACCGCTGCGTAGTGCTTTACAGCTCTCTCTAAGCGGTTTACAGAGTCAGCCTATTGCCCCCCCCCAACAATCTGGGTCCTGATTTAGATAGATAGATAGATAGATAGATAGATAGAGAGAGAGAGAGAGAGAGAGAGAGAGAGAGAGAGAGAGAGAGAGAGAGAGAGAAGAGAGAGAGAGAGAGAGAGAGAGAGAGAGAGAGAGAGAGAGAGAGAGAGAGAGAGAGAGAGAGAGAGAGAGAGAGAGAGAGAGAGCAATAGCACTTAGACTTATATACCGCTTCATAGTGTTTTACAGTCCTCTGTAAGCGGTTTACAAAGTCAGCTTATTGCCCCCAGCAATCTGGGTCATTTAGATTTAGATAGATAGATAGATAGATAGATAGATAGATAGATAGATAGATAGATACATACATACATACATACAGAAAGACAGAAAGACAGAAAGACAGAAAGAAAGAGAGATGAGATAGATGATAGAGATAGATAGAAAGAAAGAAAAAGAAAGAAAGAAAGAAAGAAAAAGAAATAGTACGTAGACATATATTGCTTCATAGTATTTTACAGCCCTCTCTAGGCGGTTTACAGAATCAGCCTATTGCCCCCCCAAACAATCTGGGTCCTCATTTTATCGACTTTGGAAGGATGGAAGGCTGAATCAGCCTTGAGCTGGTCAGGATCGAACTGCTGGCAGTGGGCACAGTTTGCCTGTAATGCTGCATTCTGACCACTGGCAAGGAAGGAAGGAAGGAAGGAAGGAAGGAAGGAAGGAAGGAAGGAAGCGGTTTACAGAGTCAGCCTTTTGCCCCCAACAATCTGGGTCCTCATTTTACCAACCTTGGAAGTCCCGCCTTAGTCATGAAAACCGGGTGGGTGACCTTGGCCCAATCACCAGGAGACGGTGAATTCTAGTCCCGCCTTAGGCATGAAAGCCAATTGGGTGACTTTGGCCCAGTCCCTCTCTCAGCCCAACCCACCTCACAGGCCTGTTGTTGCCGTTGTGAGGAAAATAGAAGGATTAAGTATTTTTGCTGCCTTGTGTTCCTTATAAAATAACAAAAGCAGGATCAAAATCTAACAAATAATTAAAACAAAGGATCCCAAGGAGAAAAATGCACACCACCCCAAAGCAATTTGAGTAGGGGGTGTGTGTTTTTGTGAAACCACAAAAACCCAAATCTCCAAACCGAGAAAACCAATTTTAGCAGCTATTTTTAATGTGGTTTGGGGTTTGTTTTTTTTAAAAAATGCACCAAAGGTATTTCCTGCCAGCTTTATGTTCACCGCAAGTGACGTTGGGGAGCTTAGCTGGGCAAAAAAAAACCCAGATTTCTGAGGAAATAAGGGCAGATAAACCAGAGATTAGCGTGGCTGCACTTGGTCGTCGCCCAAACGGATCTGGAATACCTACAAAATTTATTTCTCTCCTTTGAGCCTTTGGACCGACGTGAAAAAAGAAAAAGAAAAGAAACGTTAATTTTAGAATGATTTTTGTAACTGTAGAAATGGCCGAAAGATTGTGAAATGGAAAGCTAATGGCTGAAGCTGTATTATTTTTGTAATTGTTGCCCCAAAGACAGTTGGAAGTCAATTTTTTTTTTCCTTTTGGCAGTTTTTCATTTTTCTTATATTTTCTTACTTTTGTTCCTTTTATAGGTTGATCTGATAATAAAACTTGATCAAAAGAACAGGAGGATTTAGAAGCATAGAAACATAGAATCCTAGGGCTGGAAGGGTCCTTGAGAGGTCCTCTACTCCAACCCGCTGCCCAAGGCATGAGACCTTAGGAAATCTCGAACAAATGGACGTCCAATCTTTTCCTTATAACCGATAAATAGATAATGACAGATGGCTGGATAGATAGATACATAGATAGATAGATAATGATCGATCAATCGATAGATGATAGATAAATAATGATAAATAGATACATAGAAATAGATAGATAGATAGAAATAGATAGATAGATAGATGGATACATAGATAATTAGATGGATAGATAGATAATGATCGATAGATAATGATAATGATCGATAGATGATAAAGATAGATGATAGATGGATAGATGATGGAGATAGATACATAGATAATGATCAATCAATCGATAGATGATAGGTAGATTAATAATAGATGGATAGATGGATAAATAGATATAGGAAGATAGATAATGATAGATGGATAGATGATAGATGGATAGATGAAGATAATGATCGATAGATGATAGAGATAGATAATGATAGACGGATAGATAGATGATATAGATAGACAGATAGATAATAATGGATAATGATAACGATCGATAGATGATAGATATAGATAGATAATGATAGATGGATAGATAGATGATAGACAAATAGATAATAATGGATAATGATAACGATCGATAGATGATATAGATAGATGATAGATGGATAGATAATGATATAGATAGATAATGATAGATGGATAGATAGATAGATAGATAGATAGATAGATGATATAGATAGATAGAGACAGACAGATAGATGATGGATAGATAATGATATAGATAATGATAGATGGATAGATAATGATATAGATAGATAATGATAGATGGATAGATGATATAGATAGATAGATAGAGACAGATAGATGATGGATAGATAATGATATAGATAATGATAGATAGATAATGATATAGATAGATAATGATAGATGGATAGAAATAATGATAATGATTGATAGATGATAGAGATAGATAATGATAATGATCGAGAGATTTGACAGATGATAGAGGCAGACAGACAAAAAGACAGATCATAGACTGATAGAGCTGGAAGGGACCTTGGAGGTCTTCTAGTCCAACCCATTGCTCAAGGAAAGAGACCTTACTCCATCCCTGACAAACGGATGTTCCAGCTTTTTCTTGATTTGATTTGATGACCCCCACCTTGCCGTGAGTCCACTTCTGTCCTTTCTCTAACACCATCAAGGCTGTGTTGTCTTCCAGGATTTGGAAAAATTCCTCCGTCTCAACCAGGGTCCCGTCTTCTTCCAGCACCAAGAAAACCATGCCGGACATCAAGAGGGTCTCCCTGGCCTACAAAACATGAAACCAACAAAACTGAGGTATGCAGGCTGAAGAGACTCCACCCCCCCCTTCAAACTGCTTACTTTGAAGCGTTAAATATGTGCAACAAAATTTTATGCCCATTTCGCAGGTGAGAAAAGAGAGGTCGACTTGGAGTGACCTGCTGCAAATTCAGAAATAGGTGTGTGTGTGTGTGTGTGTACATTCGCTGGGAGATAAAATAATGATAATAATCAACACAAACACATCTGCCTATCCCAGGTCCTTGGAAAGGACTCACTAGGTCAGGTGTCTTCAAACTTGGCCCTTTGATGACTTATGGACTTCAACTCCCAGAATTCCTTAGCCAGTGTGCCTGGCTGAGGAATTCTGGGAGTTGAAGTCCACAAGCAGGGGCCTTCCAACTTGGCCCTTTGATGACTTGTGGACTTCCAGAATTCCTCAGCCAGCATACCAGGCTGAGGAATTCTGGGAGTTGAAGTCTACAAGCAGGAGTCTTCAAACTTGGCCCTTTGATGATTTGTGGACTTCAACTCCCAGAATTCCTCAGCGAGGCATGCTGGCTGAGGAATTCTGGGAGTTGAAGTCCACAAGCAGGGGCCTTCCAACTTGGCCCTTTGATGACTTGTGGACTTCCAGAATTCCTCAGCGAGCGTGCCAGGCTGAGGAATTCTGGGAGTTGAAGTCCACATGCAGGGGTCTTCCAACTTGGCCCTTTGATGACTTGTGGACTTCAACTCCCAGAATTCCTCAGCGAGGCACGCTGGCTGAGGAATTCTGGGAGTTGAAGTCCACAAGTCATCAAAGGGCCAAGTTTGAAGACCCCCTGCACTAGGTGGACAAAAACGCCAAATTCAGTCTAAACCTCTGACCGATTGGCCGACGAACCAAAATATTCATAATCAAAGAATTTAAAACAATAAAAACTACCCAACACACCCCAAATAAATCTACAAACCTTGTTAAGTAAGTCCCCCAAAGTGCTGGCCATTAGTCCCTTGCGGATGTTGCGCTTGTGATCGCACACTCGGAACGGCCGCTGGGGCGGAGGGCTCGGCGTCCAGACCCGGCGGGAGATTTCCGAGCCTGCACTGGAGACTGACCTGAGTCGAGGGAGAATAACGGAATAACAGAGTTGGAAGGGACCTTGGAGGTCATCTAGTCCAACCCCCTGCTCAAGCTGGAGACCCTACACCATTACAGAAAAGTAGCTGTCCAGCCTCTTCTTAAAAACCTCCAGTGATGGAGCCCCTACGACTTCTGGAGGCAAGCTGTTCCACTGGTTAATTATCCTCACTGTCGGAATTTCTCCTTAGTTCCAGGTTGCTTCTCTCCTTGATTAGTTTCCATCCGTTGCTTCTCATCTTGCCCTCTGGTCCTTTGGAGAACAGGTTGACCCCCCTCTTCTTTGTGGCAACCCTTCAGATATTGAAAGACTGCTATCATGTCACCCCTGGTCCTTTTCTTTTTTAGACTAAGAGAATAACAGGATTGGAAGGGACCTTGGAGGTCTTCTAGTCCAACCCCCTGCTCGGGCAGGAGACCCTATACCAGTGATGGCAAACCTTTTAGAGACCAAGTGCCCAAACTGCAACCCAAAGCCCATATGTATCGGCGGGTGCCGGGTGGGCATGGCCCATTGGGTGGGCGTGGCCGCGGTGGTAACGGCAGACCGGGTGGGACTAAAAAGTTCAATCAATTCCAACTTTGCGAGATCTTTTTTTTCCCCGTGAGAAATTGAAATTGATTAATTGAACCTTTTTTGTTTTGCACACGGCGGCAGAGGCCTAAAGCAAAAAGGTTTTATAAAACCCAGCTGAAGGCCTAGGACTGGGGCAATGGCGCACGTGCCCACAGAGAAGGCTCTGCGTGCCACCTGTGGCACGTATGCCATAGGTTCGCCACCACGGCCCTATACCATTTCAGATAGATGGCTGTCCAATCTCTTCTTAAAAACCTCCAGTGTTACCCACAACCTATGAAGTTCCACTGTTTAATTGTTCTCACTATCAGGAAATTCCTCCTTCGTTCTAGTTCAGCTTTCTCCTTCATTAGTTTCCATCCCTTACTTCTTGTCCTGCCTTCAGGTGGAGAATGGCTTGACTCCCTCTTCTTTGGGGCAACCCCTGAGATATAGGAAGACTGCTATCCTGTCCCCCCTCGTCCTTCTCTTCATTAAACTAAACATCCCCAATTCCAGCAGCCGTCCCTTATATGTTTTAGCCTCCAGTCCCCTGATCATCTTTGTTGCTCTTCTCTGTACTCTTTCTAGAGTCTCAACATCTTTCTTACATCGTGGTGACCAAAACTGGATGCAGTATTCCAAGTGTGGCCTTACCAAGGCCTTGTAAAGTGGTATTAACACGTCTTGTGATCTTGCAGCGTGATGCCTCAGGTCATGTGCAGAGTGTCCAGCGAAAAACACACCGTCCCTTTCTGCAGTGTCACTAAGAAGGTCCTTCTGTAAGACTGCCTCTCCCTGATTTTTTGAGAGATTAGCCCTCACAGGGCTCCCCAAACAGCCACAATGAATCAGGATTACGTGGAGCTGTTTATTACAGCAGCTGTTGTTCCTTTAGCCGTGGAGGTCATAGTCCAAATTCCAGGTAGTTTTTTTTCTCCAGAAAGAGGGGGCTGGAGTAGTGATGGAGTAGCTATGGAGTCTGTCTTAATTGCACAGAGATATCCAAGGAGCAATGATGCACAAGTGGGTTTTTTAGCTTAATAATAATAATAATAATAATAATAATAATAATAATAATAATAATAATAATAATAATAATAATAATAATAATAATAATAATAATAATAATACAGTTGGAAGGGAGGTCATCTAGTCCAACCCCCTGCTCAGGCAGGAAACCCTGTCCCATTTCAGACAAATGGCTGTCCTGTCTCTTCTTAAAAACCTCCAGTGTTGGCGCATTCACAGCTTCTGGAGGCAGGTAGTTCCACTGGTTAATTGTTCCAACTGTCAGGAAGTTTCTCCTTAGTTCTAAGTTGCTTCTCTCTTTGGTTAGCTTCTGAAGTACCAAACAAGCCAGGTCATACCTTGCATTTGTGAAATAAGCCATGATTGGCTGAATGTTGCTGCTGTAGAACTGGGCTTATTAAGAATAGGAGTGACCTTGGGGCAAGATGGGCTGTTTATAAATTTTATAAATAAATAAGCAGACCATTTCATCTGAAAAGGTAACTATCCATGTTTCTTGACTTGGTACACTATAAATATCTAGTCTCCCCCCCCCTTTATTATTGTAATAAACAGAGTTTTCCAAGCTTGACCGCTTTAAGATGGATGGAGTTCAACTCCCAAAGCTGGCTGGGGGATTCTGTGAATTGAAGTCCACGGATCTTAAAGTGGCAAGGTTGGGAGATTGTTCTAAAACAGGGCTCTCCAAACGTGGCCGCTTTAAGACTTCTGGACTTCAACTCCCAGAATTCCTCAGCCAGCCAAGCTTGGAGACTCTCGTTTCCCAATCTTGCCATTTTAAGAAGAGTGGACTTCGACTTTGCTGGCTGGGGAATTCTGGGAGTTGAAGTCCACAAGTCTTAAAATCGCCACGTTTGGAGATCCCGACTCTAAAAGAAGAGTGAGTCCAGAATGGATAACTCGTTCCATTGGCAACCAGTTTTAAACATGGACTCTGCTCTGAATTCGAATCTTCGTCAAGGATTAGCCAACTCAAAGCGAACCCATTTTAATTGCAGATGCTCACATTGTTCCAGACATAACTTGGTTATCTCTCTCTCTCTCATCTATCTATCTGTCCTCTCTCTCTTTCTCTCTCTATATCTATCCCCCCCTCCCCTTTCCACTCCAACAGAAACTGACATTCTGCTGAATTGATTCCTGAAACAAGCCTTTTTCTGGGTCTCTTGAACCACAACCACAGAGCAAGCAAACCAGGTTTATAAAACACGCCCTCTCCCCTAATCCCAACCCCTCAACCAGATAACCACAGACCAAGCTTCGCCCCCATGGTGGAATCCAGCTGGGTAATCTTTGTAAACAACCAGGAGATTAGAAAGTTGGGTAAACCTAGTTAGTTTGCTGTGCCTTCCTTGATTTCACACAAACAGGTTTGGGAATTCCCCCCCCCCTTCCACAGTCCCCAACATCCTTGTGTTGGCTGCTGCTGTAACTTGTGAAAAGGCTGGACGGCAGATCCAACTAACCACAAAAGAAGGCTAGCTGTTGAGAACTAGCTAGAGAAACCAGGATGTCAAGGACTCCGGAAGTCGAGATTGCTAACCCCAACCTCTCCAGCCCCGTGCCCCCCCCATGAACTTACTTCAACAAAGACGAGGGGGCCAAGGCATTGATAAGATCCATGGTGCCCACGGCAGGGGCTGATGGGCTCCCAGCAAAGAGATGTCCTTTCTTCCTGCTTCGTCAGTGTTTTGTGTTGAGTTGCAAAAGGGACACGCTGCCCTGTTTGGTCTCTCTGGACTCTGAACTGTGATTTGTGGGCAGGAGCATGGGTATGTGTGCGTGATGGAGGTGTGTGTGTGTGTGTGTGTGTGTAGAACATGGTGCAAATTCCAAAGTAAACAACAAAACAGATAACACCCCAGGCTAATAGACTTGGATTGGATGGTGTCTGTCTTGATTTTCTGCATCAAGTGAGTAGAGGGAGAACACCCAATGTTGACCTAAAAGGAACAGGTTAAACTGGTTAAAATTTTATTTTTAGGTGTTCCCCCCCCCAAATCAACAGGGTTTGTATAACATCATCATGGAACATCTGCCCATCTGATAGCAGTGCTGGATTTTTTTTAAAAAAATGACCCCTAATAATATAAGAAAAGGATGGATGAACAAATCTATCAAATCCACAAAGATGTTTGTGTGTGTGTGTGTGTGTGTGTGTGTGGTGGGGTCAACTTATCTTCCAAAGCACCAGAAAGCAAGACCAGAAACTGGATGGAAGAGCAACGAAGATGAACAGGGAACTGGAGGCTAAAACATATAAGGAACGGCTGCTGGAATTGGGTATGTCTAGTTTAATGAAGAGAAGGACGAAGGGGGACATGATAGCAGTCTTCCCATATCTCAGGGGCTGCCCCAAAGAAGAGGGAGTCAAGCTATTCTCCAAAGCGCCTGAAGGCAGGACAAGAAGCAACGGATGGAAACTAATCAAGGAGAAAAGCAACCTAGAACTAAGGAGAAACTTCCTAATAGTGAGAACAATTAATCAGTAGAACAGCTGGCCACCAGACATTGTGAATGCTCCAACACTGGAGATTTTCAAGAGGAGACTGGACAGGCACTTGTCTGAAATGGTCTAGGGTCTCCTGCTTGAGCAGGGGGTTGGACTGGAAGACCTCCAAGGTCCCTTCCAACTCTATTCTGTTCAGAGAAATATGAAGACTTACTTGGATACAATGGTATGCAGGCAGTCCCCAATTCAGAACCATTTGTTTAGCAACTGTACAATTTCAGACAAGTTACAACAGCACTGAAAAAAAACACGACGACTTACGATTGGTTTTTGCACTTAGCATCCATCGCAGCATCCCCGCCTGATCAAAATTTGGGGTGCTTTCAACCGGCCTTTACTTATGACGGTTTCCTCATCCTGGGGTCATGTGATCACTGCCTTTCCAGGGAGCTTCCGACAAGCAAAGTCAATGGGGGGAAAACGGGATTCCCTTAAAACAACTGCAGGGATTCCCCTTAACAACCGTGGCAAAAAAGTGTCATAAAATCAAGTTGCGACTCCTTTAACCACCTTGCTTGCTGAGGCACATTCTGGTCCCAGTTGTTAGTCGTAAGCCGAGGACTAGTCGGCCAAGTTTGCGCACATGTCAAAGAAATGGTGGAACCAAGCGCAAAAAATAAATAAAAATAAATCAGATTTCATTTCATTAGAACGTTGCCGAATAAATTGAATGGAGTTAACGTAATTAACTCTGCCTGCAGAGTATTTGAAATAATTTTGTTGGGAAGTAGCTAGATGGCAGCACGTACTGCTAATTTTAATTATATTGAAAAGGGTAAGCTGACCCAGAGTTATGTTGTTAAACTGGAAAAAGAGATATTTGTGAAGTCACGAGGTTAACCTGAAGGAGAGTTTATCCTTTCTTTTGTTCTCCGATCAGTTTTAAGATTTCAGCCGCTGCAAACAGAGACACTCAAAGCTTTCTGGACAGTGTCCCTGTGCTGTGGGTGTTTCATCACGGGAGGTTTTCGAAAATAGACCGGGATAACCATTGGACTGGGATGGCATAAGGACTCCTGTCGTGAGCAGGGGTTGGACTAGAAGACCTCTGAGGTTCCTTCCAGCCCTAGGACTCTATGATTGAATGGAGAAAAGAGCCAGTCAGGAGGGGCCGTCCACTGAATCCTACAACGCTGAAATTGGAAGCGTCCCCAAGATCATCCAGTCCAGAAAAATCAATCCAAGCATTCATGAGAAGTGACTCTCCAGCCCCTTTAAGGTCTCCAGAGATGGACACCCCATAACCTCAATAAGTGGACTGTTCCGTATACTTTATCATCAGGAATTTCCCCTTATGTTTAAAGAAATTTAGCTGGTTGTTTACTTGTACGCATCATTCCCAGTTCTCATTCCTGTCTATTGAAAATAGTTCTTGACTATCTTCTCTACAGACAGCATACTAAAAAGCAGAGACATCACCCTGCCAACAAAAGTACACATAGAATTGAGGCCTTTGAACTCTGGTGCTGGAGAAGACTCCTGCGAGTCCCCTGGACTGCAAGGCGATCAAACTGGTCAGTCCTAGAGGAGATCAACCCCGACTGCTCTTTAGAAGGCCAGATCCTGAAGTTGAAACTCAAGTACTTTGGCCACCTAATGAGAAGGAAGGACTCACTGGAGAAGAGCCTGATGCTGGGAAAGATGGAGGGCAAGAGAAGAAGGGGACGACGGGGAATGAGGTGGCTGGATGGAGTCACTGAAGCAGTCGGCGTGAGTTTCAATGGACTCCAGAAGATGGTAGAGGACAGGAAGGCCTGGAGGAACATTGTCCATGGGGTTGCGATGGGTCGGACATGACTTCGCAACTAACAACAACAAATCTTCTCTAGGGTATTCTTTTATACTTCTAACCATGGGCTCTTCTGTTTCTTCTGGAAGGCATCTTGAGCCACTTAACTTAGCCCAGCCCCTGCCACCTGCCCAACTATCTTGCAATCGTGTTGTCCCAAAGGTGTTTTTACAGCAGACAACTGGACTGTTGAAGGAAAAGTCATCATGGTTCAGTCCAAGCCGGGAATAAACAACATGGCGACTGCTTTAGAAAGAAGGTTGAAGAGGAGAGCCAGACAGAAAGATGGCTCTGGAAGAAAAGAGAGAGCACATGTTGGGAGTGGGTTTTTCTACCCTCTGGGGCTCTTGAAGTTGTTTCCTGTTCCTCTTTGAGGCTTTGTATTTCCTGTGTCATGTATTTTGACTGAGTCTGAGTGTGCCCCTTTGGCATCTGTGAGTTAATCCTATTATGTCCTGTCTTAGAGTTTGGATTGCGTATGTAGATTTTAGGTGTCTTTTGTCTTCTTAATCTTCTAGCTTCAACCTTCCTGAATGGTTTACATCGGCATTTCTACAGAGCTGGTTTCTGCTTGGGGGAGGGAGACTTGGGGCTATTAAGAAAAACTGGGCCTGCTTTTCTGCCTCTTTAAGATCCTTTGAGGAAATATATTTTCCCGCCCTTTTAATATTTCCTTCTCTGGGGGGGGGGGCTGATTTCCCACAGGACTTTCTTGTTTTCCTTTGAAGATGTTTCGCTTCTCATCCCAGAAGCTTCTTCAGCTCTGACTGGATAGCGGAGAATGGAAAGATTGGGTGAAAAACGAAATGTCTTCAAAGAAAAACAAGAGAGTCCAGTTGCCTCCTGAAAAAAAAAAGCACCTTTGGGACAACCATGACCTGGATGACCGAGACTCTCCAACACTGGAAGTTAGCCATTTGTCTGAAATGGTATAGGGTTTCCTGCCTGAGCAGGGGGTTGGACTAGATGACCTCCAAGTTCCCTTCCAACTTTACTATTATTATTACTATTACTATTACTATTACTATTACTATTATTATTACTTAGCCATGCACTTTGGGATGGAGACCGTTCGAAGGGTGCGGGAGGATGAACGGATTTCCAAAAACACTGCGGACTACAGGGACCATTTGCGCTTCAGTTCGGGATGGAGATAACACAGACTCATCCCCAACAGCCTGTGCCTATCTTCAATAGCGAAGGGACCCAGGGCAGAAAACATCCTGAAGCCAAGAAGGCTCCACACCCATTTGCGCCGCTCAGGTGACCCTGAGGACACAGATAAACCTCCAAATGGCCTCAAAGATTCTCTACAAGAAGGCAAGTGACCAGCTGTCTGCAAGGAGTATAAATCCTTCCATTCTCCACCATCCAGTCAGAGCTGAAGGAGTTTCTTGGATGAAAAGTGAAACGTCTTCAAAGAAAAAACAAGGAAGTCCAGTTGCCTCCTGAAAAAAAGCACCTTTGAGATAACCGTTACCTGGATGGCTGAGAAGCTCCATAGATATTTATGTTGGGAAGAGTTAGCGGTAAAAAAGAAACCAGCCCCCCAAAAAACACAGTGGCCGGACACGATCAAAACCGACCCCAGCCAGAGCATAGAAAATCTCAAAGAAGCAGTGCAAGATGGAAGATGTGGGGAGACCTGGCGCATACAATTGCCGAGAGTCAGATGGGACTGAATGGATAACAACAACGCCATGGATTGGTGGGATTGGGGAAGGAAGGCGTAGGAGCTTCTGGTTTGGAGGTGAAAGATTTTTCGAGCTCGTGGAGAATCTTTGATGCTGAGAATAAGAGAAACTGTGTTTTGCTCTCCCTTTTTGTCTATTCTATTGTTTTTGGCTCTTCTTAAGGGGCCGTGGCTGCACAAAGGATTTGACAATGGCACTCTAGGGCCGGGGGCGGTGAGATGTCTTTGTGAGATTGCAGAAAAGGTTTGCTGTGGTCAAGAAGGCCACAGAGCTGAATAGTGAGCTGGGTTGGTCTCGCTGGGCCTGCGAAGTGAGGAGGAGGGAGGTGGAGAGGTGTTGATGACGTTTTTCCTTTCCTGCTGTTTGCTGAGAGGAGGTAGTGTTTGCAGGAGCAGGTTGTCTTCCTCAGCTCAGAAAGCAGAGCGGTGGTGGTGCTGAGAAGATCCTAGCTCCACAAATGGACCATCGTGTGGAGTATGGAGGCCACCACTTGGAGGATGGCTTGAAGGTTTCGCTCTTATCTCGGTACTCTTCAGCTCCTCTTGTTCCTATCATAAATTTTGTGGCTCTCTTTTTGTTTCTTCCAATGTCTCTCCCGATCCTCCCATGTGAATCAACCACCCAAGGT